TATAATTGTATAAATACTTGAATATATTCAGACTTTGTGATTTATCGTGTTGTCACTTTTCTTCCTTTCACCCGCCTGTATGAAAACAAAGCCCTGGGCTCCCTCTGCTGGTTCGTTAGTTGAGGACAGGCGGCAGAAAGCGCAGGAGGACCCAGTGCTCTTAAGTTGAAGTTCTTCCGCTTCCTGTCTCGCTGCTATTGCGCTTCCCAAACGTCACTCGGTGGTTTCCAGGCTGCTGTTCGGGGGGCCGCCGCTGGAGGGCGCTGTGGGAGTTTATTAGTTAGGAGTTTTTTAAACGCTTTTATTTCTGTGAACTCTGAAAAGCTGCAGAGCTGTGAGGAAATGTCTCAGCGACTCGCTTTAATAAAGTTTTTAGAATCAAAGCCTGTTGGTCTGACTGTGACTGCTGTTTATTACTGTTGGTGTGAAGTGCAGGCACGAAGCTGTAACAAAGTCAACATCACAACACTTTTTCAAACTTTATTGTCAGACTACACAAAGCTTCCACATGATGACGTGTTTATGACATTCACTCCAAATTATATACAAATCAAAGGTGCCGAGCCGTTTCCAAATACACAACCTGCTCCTTAAACACACAAGTCATCACGAAGCCTGCAACAAACGTGCAAATCATCCGAAAGCAAAACACGTTCCCTGATGCAGAGTTAAGGTGCTGGAACAGAGACCAGGAGAGGAAACGGAGACAGGACAAGGGAGTGACGTCAAACCCAAAAAACCCGCTGAGCTCATTTTCACCCATTTTCACCCATTTTGTGGTGGAAAGTTCCAGAGTCTTTGACTTTCAGTGCCAGTCCTCTGTGAACTGCCTGAAAACCATTATGGAGGTGTGTTACAGCCCAGTTTAGCAGATGGGAAGAGCTGTGGAAAAATCCCAGTGTGTCAGAGCGCTGCACGCTGGAAATGTGAGCTGCTCTGTTTGTGTTTTCCACAGCAGATGGCGTTCACAGACAGACTTCTGCCTGTTGCATAACTACAAGTGTTTGTGCTCAGGAAGGGACTCACCCAGCGGTTCTCCTTATTCCTGACTGGGTAACCTTGAAAACACAGACTGTATATAAAGATGGACAGCATGGCAATCGCCCTCTGGTGGCAGGTTGGGGTAAAAGTTATAAACCCCGCCCCCTCCAAATCAAAGTGATCTTAAACATTTTCTTCTCATGAGCAGTGCTTCTTAAATTTAAGTTTTCACCACTAACCAGGTGACGTCAGCTGTTGGACGGGCCTAGAGACCGGACATGTCGGCCCGGAAAAACAAGGATTCTCCAGCTGGATGGAGAAGCACTAAACCTCCCTGTGACCGCTTCCAGCAACCAGGTGGAGAATTCACATTTTTCCTTAGCAATCAGAGGTTTCCGTGCAGTCGCTGACTGTCTGATAAATGCTAAGTATAAATAATGTAAGCATGATGTAAGCATGAAAACCAAGTGCAGAGACCCTCTGATGAAGTCAGACACTCACAGGTTGAGCATCTTTCATGTTACGTTGAGAAACTCAAGCGGACCGTGTGTCACTGGGTTTGGTTGTTGATGCAACCAAACCCAGGGAGGGAGGGGTGCAGCCCTGACCCCTCCCTGACTTCACACCACATAATCTATAATTATGTCATAAAAGCTGCTCAAATGATATGAGACCAGATCCAAAGGTCTGCAAGACTCTGGGTGCTTATCAGAGTCTGCTGTCAGGACGGCTAACCACGAGTCATTGGTCACTGCTGAGGCATTTAACCAACCAATATGGCGGAGAGGTCATGAATAATGTGCACTTACATCAAGCCTGAACGTCAGTGTTTATCTGCACGTTCGTTTTTCTGGAAAAGGATTAGCGGTTTAAATGTCTACACTTTCAATTGAAGTTCCACGTACAACCACTAGAGGGCTGCAAACAGCCAGAAAATAAAGAAGAACGTTTGTTTTGGTCATTTAGGGGCTGCTTCAAACAGCAACAGCCCATCAAAGGTTTATATGGACTGTTACAGTATAAGAAATGATAAATGTATCTTTATAGCTTATGGTTTAACTCAGGAGCAGCTTTCAGTTCTGTCTTTGACCACCAGAGTGTGAGGAACTACCAGGACATTAGCAAACATGCACTGATTTGCTTGACAGCCTCTGTCGTGTGGCTGCAGCACAGCGACACCTGCAGAGCCAAAACTGAACTGTTTCAGAACAGAGAAACTCCAGGAAACTGAACCCTCTGTTCACATCAAACGTTTGTGCATGAGATCAAACCCAGTTTAAGAAAAAGGGCTAATCCCTCCACCCGGCCTTGATTAAGTCGAACGTGCTAGCTTGGACTCTGGCCATGTGTGTGCACTTTGTAGCTGTCCTGCTGTGAATGAGAATTAGAACCTGGAAGCAAATCAAAGCATTTCTGACGCAAATCATTTTGGACTCAAAGGTTGGTGTTTGTAAAAGTGAGCCGTGCTCTATGCACATTTCAAAAGTTTCTGTTTGCGGGAACATTTCCTCACACAGAGGCGCTGAGCAGCGTGCAAAGTCCCACCAGGTAATTAAGGATAGAGGCCAGCGTGTGGTGGGCGTGGACCTGAACTCTGACTCTCTGCTCTGAATCCTCACTGCATGGGTTTAACACACACACACATGCAGACACACAGAGGTGTTTGTGCGAGCAGGTCTCACAGAGCCTCTCAGGACTCGAGCAGGAGGACAGCGAGAGCATGTAAGCTCCTCGGCCTTAAAGCGAGTGTGAAACAAACACATTCTGTTTGCGCTCTGCTGAGCAACAGCTGCGCAGCCCCGCCCACTCGTCCAGCTCAGCAGAGCGGAGGATCCTAACGCTGGCACTCGTGTTCTTCGGCGTCCATTTTAACCTGTTTCAAAACAACTTGTTTTATGAGGCCATCTGCTCTCAATCAGAGCAGCTGGGAAAACGCGGCACAGTGCCTGCCGAGCTCTCTGGCCTCAGTAGACCCCGCTGCTGTCGGACATGTTTACATTCAGAGGCGTCGTTCTTAAACCGACACAGCGGTGTATATGATTCATGTTTCAAAGACAGAGCGGCAGACGCGCTCGTCCCGCTCTGGACAGCGTTCACTGCGGCCAGCTGCCCCAGTACGTCTTGTTTTCATCTTCATAATCTGCACCGACAGGATTTCATCATGTGGCACACAAATGTTCTTCCACGAGGCCGTTATGTAACGCAGATCTGCAGGAAGCCAACGCGCCCTCGTTCTATCCGCAGCACTGCTGAACGTTGGTTTGAGTTTGAAACCGCTCAGCACTCATCATTTGATGCTCTGGGAATGAGACTGGAGGAGTTAAAGTAAAGACGTAAATCTGAGAGCGGCTTCAGCGCTTTGTCGTGGAAATTCATTCTCAGACCGTCTTAATGTTGATTTATTATCTCGCCAAATGAAACTGAGTGCTGAGCTGCTGCCCAGGATGCACCTGAAGAAGTTTCGTATGGGGTTTATTGTTTATTGTTGGCTCTTTTGAAGTATGAACTCTGGAGCTGTGAGCCTCTGAGAGGTTCTGCAAGTCTCTAGAGATTAGGGTTGGGCAAATATATCGAGTATCGCCGATCGGCTGAGCCCATCAGCGATGTATTTATTTATTTGTCCATGAGTACGTTTGCTAATAATGATGGAGCTAATAGAAGCAGTCAACAGAAAAAAAATAATAGCCCTGTTTTAACAGCAGCCTCTTTCATCTGCGAGCACATGCACCCTCCTCAGAGTGCGCACAAATGCTCGATGGAGCTGCAGAAGCTGGTGATAGCCTAGCATACTCAGCCGGACGGTGGACACGTGCATGCTCATGCAAGTTAGTCGTGTTTGAGTACTTTGCTCGTAATATGTGTCTGCACAAGTGGTACACCGCTTTGGTTACGTCCTTAGGTTTGCCTCTTTCATCCCAAATTGGCGACTTTATATGTTTTTAGTGCTGTCAGCGTTAACGCGCCATCATCATGACTAACACGATTAACAATGAACCCATCTGGAACACAGATTGAGTCAAAATCCCTGAAATGTCTCTGTCAATGCATTTCAGGCAGTTTGTCCAAAGTTTGTTCTTTCTGCGCTCCAGATGGGTGGAGTACATGAAAAAAGTTTAATCGCATTAATCGTGACGACCGCGTTAATGCCGACAGCCCTATTAGTTCGTCCACGTTTGTACTTCTGCCCAAATCAATCCGTGCATGATCACATTGCTCCGCCCATCAAAAAGTCTGTGCATGCGTGAATATATCGCCCATCGTCGATTATTGGACTGATGATTGTCGGTTGGAAAATTTTTACATATCGCCCAACCCTACTCGAGATCTGCTACGAAATCTATTTTATAAAGATATTCCTGCTGTGATGATGAGGATGGCGTGGTTCATCAGTAAAAGTGTGCAGGGAGCCCTGCTGTTTTTCTGATTTGTGTTTTTGCTGTAAGTTGTCGCCCATGTAAGTCTAAGAACTGAGAAAGAGACGGGGCACCTGGGCAGGACGGAGCGCTAACACCCAGCCGGCAGCTGGAGGCAGAGCCTGGATCTCCTCTGTCTCTGGGAACAATCGTGTTGTTTGTCTCATAGATTCAGGAAGCCTGCAGACTGCAGACTGTCTGCCCAGTAATGACTTCACAATTACAGTCGTTTAATCGCCGTACGGCACCTGAATGAACCTCAGCTTTTGGTAACAGTTACGCTGCAGTCCATAAAGTCTGAGCGAGGTCTAAAGGCTGTGAGACGGCTTGCAGTCGATGATCGCTGACGTGAACCTTCAGTTCATGAAACGCAGACAGGTTGAATGTGAACTGGAGGAGAAAAGTGAGCGCAGAGACAGGAGAGATCACCGCTCACAGCGCCTGCAGCTGAGTCATGTTAGCACCTCGTCCCCTTCCAGCTGTTTCACACATTTTTCCACGGAGTCATCCTCGCCCACTGTTACTAAGGATTTACAGATCACTTACATGCCACTCACACACCAAACCATTAACATCCCCCAGCTTCAGTTTCCTGATGAGACACTCGTTATAAACTGTGAGTGAAAGGCTTTATGAACCACTAACACCAACAGCACATCAGTGAGTTATGAGAACATCGCTGGGCTCAGCTTACTGTTTGGTTTTGTTGGTAAAACGCTAAAAAGGCTAATTTTCATTATCTGTGACAGGTCAGAGTATCTTGACGGACACTGAGAGGTTAGCCGTAAAGCATCTGCAGATGTTTAGACTCATGAGACTCCAGCAGGTCCTGGTAGTGGGAATTCCTGTTAACCTGACATGAAGCCCAAACCTAACCTATGATGTTTAATAAAGCTATGAGTTTCTACTGCGGTGCGTTACACGGTACCACAGTGGACGGTCAGAGTGTGTACATGCGTGTGAAACCTCTGTGGCTTCACGCAGCTGTCCTCTTATCCAATCAGAGTGCAAACATTCCCAAACCTCGTTACAGGATCAGAGCATCAAAGGGCACTTCATCTCCGGGACAGGAGCAGCAGCAGGAAGGGAACGCGTCCCACAAAAAAGTGCTATCGGTGTCGAGGTTCAGTACACGAAGGTCACCAGCAGGTCCTGCAGGCGGTCTGCAGCCATCTCAGCCGGGTCATCAGAGGGGGGCGGGGAAATGGGCAGCAGGGGGAAGTGCTGGGAGAGGGTGGGGGCAGGCGGTCCTACCACGCTGTACGCCTTCAGGGCGGACAGCCCGTTCAGCACGGCCACGTCCACGAAGGTCATGTGCAGGAAGGAGGAGGAGCCAAAGGAAAGGGCGTCCAGCTCCGCTGTGACCCCCGCTGGGGGGGAGACGGTCATTTCCTGGTCAGGGTATGGAGCCAGCGGCACGGCGCTGTGGATCCCGAGGGTCTGCAGACCCCGCAGAGCCAGGTACCGGCTGTCCACAGGTTTGATCCCGCAGAACGACAGGCGCAGGTGGCCCACCGAGCTGCCGTTCAGCAGCTCCTCCAGGACCCAGAGCTCCTTCACCCACACCGCCAGCTGCCCCGCCTCCCGCAGCCCAGCGCGGGGCATGGCGGAGCGTGGCACGCTGTGGCAGCGGCACAGAGAGTTCGCCAGCACTTCGTCGCAGTCCGTGACGGGGGCAGAGCAACTGCAGTTACGCAGGCTGCGGCTCGTCGCAGCGCCGCTCTCGTAGAGTAGCGTCGTATTGGCCCTCGGGGAAGCTGCACGTGTGGGGGCAGAGCTCGTCGTCTGGGGGCGGGCGGCAGTCAGGAAGAACAGCAAGCACAGTGACCATGGCAACAGGGCAAAGACTGAGACTGGAGACATCTCCATGGAGACCAAACAGACTACATCTTCACCAGGTGGAGGGAGAGGACCAACCTGAGAACACACAGGGGGAGGGGGGGGGATTGTTAGCATGGACAGCACCAGAGAGCTCGACTCACATGCTCACACACGCACACAAACGCACACACACACAAACACACACACAAACACACGCACGCTAACACACACACACCCACACACACACACACACAAAAACGCACACACGCTCACACATGCACTCAAACGCACACACACTCACACGCACACGCACACACACAAACATGCACACACACAAACGCACACACACTTGTTTTCATATCTTAGTAAGGACCTAAGTAAGTAAGGATCTAAATGACGTTGCCATCATCATGACATCATTTCCCACCACAACTGTAACCCTGACACTAAAAACACATTTTGAGCCTCAGAAACGTCTTCAAACTCGTGGTGACAGCGTTTTGTCTGCATAAGGACTGTTGGTCCTCACAAGTATAGCAGCATGCCAGTTTTTGGTCCCCACAAAGATCTCTGAACATGGTACACACACACACACAGCTTTATGGGCTGATTTCCTTCCAGGCCTCGAGCTGGCGCTGGGTTGATGGAAGTTTCCTGTGCCACGCTGCGCTGCGGTCAGCGCGGCTGCGTCCCACCGTGTTAAACGCTCAGGAATGAGCACACTGCTCTCTTTATTCTCCGGCTCAGCAGCCATGGAAAAGTGGACTGAATAAGCAGTCTAGACCTCCAGAGCAAAACTTTCCCCTCTTCTTTCCAGAGTTTATGTCGGACAAAGTCGAATCAGTTTTCCAAAAAACACAAACAAGTGATGTATTCAGGAAGGTCACAGCCATTTCTTATTCTTCACTAAT